GGTGGCGGCGGGCGGCGGCTCCGTGAGGGTGGCGGTGCGCGCCAAGCCCGGCGCCCGCTGCAGCGCCGTCACAGGTGGGTGTGTGCCCAGGGCACCCTGAGGAACAGGGGCGGAGGGGGGGAACGCACAAAATCCCACCCGGAAAGTAAAGCGAGGAGTTCGGCTCTCCGGGAGGAGCTCGTTCGCGCCCCCCTCTATAGCGCTGGGTGGCGCGGTGAGCACGGGGTAAATCCCGATCCTAAATCCTTCAGTTCGGCATCTGTGGTTTCGTGCAGGCCGTTTGTGTCTCAAGGGTCTGTGCTGTTTTATTAGAACCATAAAAGTTGGATCCAATAAAACGCGTTTTCCGTCTGCATTCCTGGGCTTGCGCCCGCACGGCCCGGGGCTGCTCTCAGCGCTGTGGCGGTGTCCGGGCCCTCGGGGACACGGGGAATTCACTGACAGCCAGCTCGCTGAGCAGACTGCTTTAACTTGCGGCTTTTCCGGGGGTACCCTGATTTGAAAAGTGTTACGTGGTGCCAAGCACCACCTGCACGAGAACGGGCAGCTCAGAGCGGTGAGAAGGCTGGTAACTCATGACTGCACCCTGCTACAGCATGAAGGCTTCACTGCTCGTATTGTCTAGAGTTTATACTTGATTGTACTGGCCGAGGGAATTTATGAAATGTGAAAATGCCATCACCTGCTAATCTATAAATTTACTTGGTTTTAAAGTAAAATGCTTTTGAAAGCCTAAACATTCATTTTTAAGAAACTATGACTAGATGTTTTGAATATTTTGAGCATAAAATTCTCCAACGATTTGTTACAGATGTGACAGCTGAGGCAGTAGGAGTAGCTATTGCTGCACCTCCATCAGAAGGGGAGGCAAATGCAGAGCTGTGTCGCTACCTCTCTAAGGTGCTCGAAGTGAAGAAGAGTGATGTTATTTTAGAGAAGGTACTTCCTTTTTTCCTATTTTCAGTTTTACCCTATTGCAGTTGAAATTCAAGATTTTGAAACTTACACATTGAGTAGAGTACTACGCCAAGTTCAATCTGAAACACACTTTGAAAAGTTTCGTTGAGTTAGTGGAATGATTCATTGAGAACAAACCCATTGTAAGAAGAACTATGGCTGATCTTAAGATCTTTTAATCAGAGGAGTTATCCTGACAATGTTTTGCAAATCTCTGTAGTTCATGTTTTCTGTGTTCTTCAAAGATTCTCTTCATTTCATGTCAAATGAGTTCACAGAATTCATTTTCTGTGTTCTGCTGAGAATGTGCATTTTATTAGTAACTTTTCACTTTTTTTTAAAATACCTTCTGTATTTGAATCAAAAGATTCTGACTTTTAAGTGTCACACATAAACAAGTGTATGTAAGCCCTTGGGTTGTAGCTGGGCCTCAAGAGTTCCTCTGTATTAGAATTTATATGTCTTACTTTGGTGAGCAGAAACTCTTTGTTTTATTCATTGCACTGAATAAATAATTTGTTTTATTAATTTATTATAATTGAAGTCAGTCTTTCCAGACATTTCCATTTATAGTTTATGAGCATAAGAGCACAATTAAAATTGGTGGATTTTGTTTTAATCTGTTGGTTTAATGGAGTAGTTGTAGAAGTCTTTAAGAGTAGTGGTAAAGGATAAGATGACCAATGAATTGAGCACTGTGTTGTGAAAAGGTAGAGACAGAACGATATGAATCTTTTTTTTTCTGAATCATGGGCAAACTGCTTAATTTGTTTATCAGTATTTTATAAATAGTACTGTTTTCTTACCTTAAAGGGTGATTCTCTGAAAGATAGGTTTTTCCTGTGTTTGTCTTAAACCAGGGGGGTAAATCACGTGACAAAGTGGTGAAGATTTTGGTATCAGCAACACCAGATGAAATTTTAAAGAAACTGAAAGAAGAAGCTTCCAGTTGACCTAAAACAAGAGCAAGAAATAGGAAAAAGCATCTTGGTATATGGACTGGTATTCTGTCTTACTTAATGTAGTGCTGTTGAGAATGTGGGTAATGACTACAGGAAGATACTTCTTCCCCTCCCCTCCCCTCTAAGTGAAGCAAATGTTGGTTAACAAAGCAAAAGGCTTGGAGTGACGCCTGCCATGTGGGAAGTGGTACCAAAGGACAAATCTGGATGGCAGAGACATAAAGGAGACTGATCTCTCTGGTATCTCACAGTAGGTACTGTGTGCAGCTTTTCACTGTGGGCACTTACAGAGATCTAAAATAAATGTCTTGGAAGCCAGTGTGCTGTTGTTGATTACACAGACAAGCTGAAAGTAGAATCACCTGAACAACTGAAAAAAACCCAGAAGTTTTCAGTATGAAAAGCCAGTGCAGAACCTGGTCATTGCACATGTGGGGTCACTTTGTAATAGTCTGTAAATAGTTTCCTTAAAAGTAGAGATATGTTCATATATTTCTTTGCCAATTGTATGTCACCTGTAATGACTGTTTTTAATAAAAGAGGTAAAAAGGATTATCAAACTTTGTGTTTATATTTTTAACAGAAAAAAAAAAACAGAAAAAAAAGTTGTTTCTTAGAAGTCTCTTCATAGAATGCTACTTTCAAACAGCCTTTTTTTTACAATTTTTCTTTAGTCTGAAAATGAGTAGCAGTGTGACCCCTAGAGAGCTGAGCAGAGTAATTTGTAGAACAGAACAAGTCTGAAACAAAATTGGCAACTATACTTCAGTTTCAGGGCTGATGAGAAAAAGGCTGAACTTCTCTATTTATCATGCTTCAGAGATCAGAGTAAGATTTAACTGACATCTCCCAAAAATGTGTGTGATACCACACATGTTTCTGGTAGTTTGTTTTTTCCTTCTGCATCACTGTTGATGTCTGAAATAATCCTGTATTTGTTCTATGACTGTCATGGTAAAAAGCAAGTAATGGCTAAAGGAAAAAAGATAAACTATTCTGAAGGTTTGCTTCAGAAAAACTATTCTCCTGGAGAACAATGTTATGAATGCATAAGCATTTATGCAGATGCATTTCCACATTGATGCAGTACAAGCTTCATTGCTCATAATTTGGGTTTTTCATGGGCAGAAATATTTTGCTTTAGGAAACTCTTTCAGTGTCCCGTTATCCTAATATTGCAATAGCTGCTTTTGGAGTTAGAGAACTGGTGTTTGTGAAGATTACAGTTCCTTCAAGGTGACTCATTTTAAAGGTGTTATGAAAAATGTTAGTTTCTGGAGAAATAAGTCTACATTCTGAATTCTGTTTGTTTAATGGTTTTCACCTGAGCCCCTTATTTTCTCAGGCATTTGGGCAGCCGTACATTGCCTCTTTCCTTACTTATCTTCTCAGTCTTCACAGGCTGATTTTGTTTTACTCTTCCACCAGTTTTGGTTCACCCCTCCCTGCTGTTAGATCTGCTCTTGCCCAGTAGAGGGGTGCCGTGTCTTGCAGAAAAATTAAGGCAGAGCAAACCAAAACAAAGTGTTAGTGGTTTGTCTTTGGGAGTTTTCCCTCTTATTCCCTAAACTTCTTATTATAAGTAGAAAACAGCAATAAAAAGACTGAGGAGTTCTGTATTTATAAATTACATTTAGAATTGGATGCTGCAACAGCCGTTATAATTTTTTTTAGAAAGCTTATATACTCTGTTGAATTAATGTATTTCAATACACTTTCCTGTGACTTCAGACACAGCCTGAGGGAGGAGCTGTGTGGACAGATACAGTCCCTCAAGTACAGGATGATACATGCAGAGTGGTTGTGTAAGTAACACTGGGGTGTTACCGTATAGAATCACAGAATCTTATCTGACAGTCTCTTATGTCAATGTTTTTTGTGCTGTCTTCCAATTATATCCCTAATACCTTGGTTGTGGATTTATGTAAGCTGGTAAAATGCCTGGGATGGAGGAACTGCTGGTCCATTGTATATCAAAAGAGGTAGAGAGGAGCTAAGAAACTTGTATGACCAAACAGTGCCAAAACTGTGATTTAGGCCTAGCTCCTGCTAGTTTTGCATTGAAATCCTAGCTTGTCAACTGTTTATTCATGAAAGTAGTAAAGTGTATTTAATTCTATTAAAAAAATGTGGTAGCAAATATCCCTTACTCCAGCAGAGTATGTTTTAATAGAGCAGAGCTTTGTGATATTGTAAGAAGCTTCTTCCAAGAATTACAAAACACTTTACAGATCCCTGCTCAAAATGAATTCTTATTTCTGGACCAATTTAAAAACATGGTGGTGCCGGTGGCTGCCTAACTTTTACCTGTTGATACCTGCTTTATCCACATGCATTAAGCTACATGATTACTCAACTATTGAAATCAAACACTGTCCTCTTTCCCTAATGCATGGTCTGACCAATTCCAGTAAAATTCATCTAATGGTGATTTAATGTCTGACTGCTTGCAGACCTGTGCTGTCAGTGCAATTTTTAAGTAAAATTAAGTTAAACATTAGCAAAATAGAGGTTATCTGAATAAATTTTATGCCAGTCTTACAGCATAGAAGAGTCATAGTCTTTCATCCACTCAGTTATATTTATTTTCTAAAATACAGCTTTGAAAGTCTGTTTCATTGTAGTAGTGTAATATACTAATTAAGGATATTTAATTGTACCCTCTGAAACTGCCTCTTTGCTCTTTTTCTTTCAATCCACTCCATTTATCATCTGCAGCACATTCCTTTCTCCCCTTTTAGTCCCAAGTGTTTCTAACTCCTCATTTCTTTGGATATCATCAGTCTAAATAATCCTGGATAATTGACAACTTTGTCAATAACTGGCAGCAGCAATTTAGCAGAAAGCACAGTTTAATATCTTCCTGCTTCCAGGAAGATAAATACACCTGATCTTCTGCTCAGTACTTCACATCTCATTCTTGTTCCCACTCTCATAATGTTTATTTGCATGTGTAAAACTTGAACCAGCTGAGTTTTTAATACTTTTTTTCTGCATTACTTCTACCTACTGTATTCCCCTCTTAATGTTTTAACCTTTATCCTGGGAGGATGATTCATTGCAATTTTTGACAGGTTTAAAAATGGGCTTCTCTTGTCTCCTTTGGGGAACACAGTGCTTTATCCTCCTGTAAAACCTGTCCTGGTTGTTACTCTCTAGGAGGGGGCTGCACTTGAGGCAAAGTGCTTTTAATGCAACTGAGGCACAATAAAAAAAGCTGCTGAAGAAATGAAATGCTTGCCTGAAAGGAGGAGTCTTGTACTTCTCTGAGATATTGGGAATTTGTTTCTTTCTGGTCCCTTAGGTATTGGCTTCTCAAGTAATTGTTACTGAGCTGTGACAAATTTTCTTTCATCTATAAATGCTGCATTTATTTGTTCTTCCAAGAGCTGGGGAAGTTAGAGTGATGATTTTTCCACTGTGCCATCTTACTACAGCCTGAGGGTGAGTTTTTGGAATATTGTTTAAATAACATTCTGAGTTTCCATATCTGAAGTATGGCAGGTGAAAAGGGAAATATATTGAGTATCAGTTCAGCAGTTGGTCACTATAGAAACGTGCTGTAAAGAGAGCAGTTAGCCATGGATCCAAGGAAAAAAGAGCAAACAACAGAGGGTCAAAGCCTCATTTCATGCTGCTCTGATAAAGCAGTCATCTGCCTTAAGAGAATAACCAGGGTTACTACAATTCTGGGGTGATTGTCATTAAGTTGATTTTTTCTAATACCTCGTAGGTGTGCAGTGCATGTGGGAAGGGCTGCAGCAATGCTGTTCCTTTGGCCAGCTTTTGTTGCTGTAATGCTTTGCAAACCAGGATGCACTGAGGCATAATTTATAACAAATTTCTAAGCTCTCAAAATGTCTTAGTACATACTTTGTGCCCAGCTGTGTGACAGGGGCATTGCCAAGTTGAATTTTATGAAACAAGCTATTTGTGTGGAACCGTTTTTTTCCACCAGTACTACTTTCCAAAGCTTGTCTTAAAATCTGTGAAGTTTTTTGCTTCCTTTCTGCTGTTCAGAAGGTCTGTGGGGTTACATTTGATGGAGGTATCAGCACACATGGTCAGCCCCAGCACCTTCCTACCACATCTGGGTGCTTTTGCTGCCTCCCACCTTCAGTTCTGCTGCTGCTGTTGCAGGTAAGTGCCCTTCAGCAGGACCAGGCTCTCTGGGGTTGTTTCTGCTCTCTATTTGACACATCAGCATTGTTGCTGATGCTTATCTCCTTAGATGCCACCACATTTTCTGTTCTTTGGGCCTGACAGCCCTTAGAGATGCATTCATTAAGGAAGGAGGGAAAAGACTTTGTGATACAATCTTTGCAATCAGAGGGCAAACCTGTCCCTTCCAGTGAGGCCCTATGGCAGCTCTTTGTAGCCTCCTGGCATTTGCCCTTTAATGAAATGTCTCCTTTTGTCTCCAGTCAATCTGACAGCAATCAGCCAGCACGTATGTGAGGTCATGTTCCTGCTATGAGGAGAGATTGCTGGTACCTACTCAGATACACTTCTGAACAGGCAATTTTCTTCAGTTTCTTAACTGCCTTTTTACAATGGAAGTGCAAACTGTTACTAATAAACCTGATAGGTTTATGGGTTTTGAGGAGATTTTTCCTTTTTGTTCGAAAAACTTGATTAAGCTAATCACTGACTGAATATAAATGCTAATACATAGAGAGAACCAGCCAGGCAAATTGCACTTGGCTAATTTCACTTAATGAGAATGTCTGATTCTGTTCAGTCACTTCCTCCCTGAGTTAGGGTTCAGCTGCTAAAGCAGACCCAGGAGCTTTTTGTTAAATATTTTTAAAAGATGATCAGCTTATAATAATGTTCTCAAAGTCTATGACTTCTGTTTGCTGTGATTGCTGTGACGTATCAACTAGAATAATTTTTTTCCTTTATTTAATATCATGCCAGACAATATTTCTGGCAGGAGATAAATGCAAAAATAGAACATCTGAAAACATGAATTTGACAATAGCTGTTGTTAAATTGTGGATGTAAGGCAAGGCCTGTCTTTCAGTAGTCAAGTGCCTGTGTGTATAAAAGCAGGGAAAGTATAAGATATAATTAAACACTACTTTCAATAGTCTGAAGAGTATATAATCCTAAATACACAAAAACAAATGAAGTGATCCTGTCAGAGGAAATGTTGCTATACATTTTATGCACTTAAAGACAAAAAGAATGAGTAATACCAGAGCTTGCCATAAGCTGTTCTGCCAGCTTTATGGGACCACCTTTGCAAATCTGAATTTGAAAGGGTTTTTTTCACTGTTCTTGCTGTCAGGTAGGCCTCCGCAGGAAACCTATAGAAAACCTTTGGATTCTCAGCTGCATATAATTCCTGCTCACTTCAGTGAGCCAACTTGGTATTTTGACCTTTGGGGAGGAATTTAATGAAGTGCTCCAGATTTTACACACTTGGACTTCCAAACCTAATAAGCAAATCCTGTTAGCTCATCAGGACTTAGTGATCTTCAGGCTGGGTTTTAGGCTTTGCCCTGTGATTATCCAATGTTACCTTGATCAGACCATCTGAAGAAACA